TCACGTAGTCTTTTTATTCAGATATCTGTTAAAAATAAATTGATAAAAACCACATGATCACATTTTATCCTCTCTTTTTTGTATGATTTTAACAAAAATCCTTATAAAAGTGTTTAAATGGGACAAATTCAAAGTTCAAATGGCAAGTAAGAGTTTTGAACGTTTAGAGGGTAAAAAAGGAAGGACCTCAAAGTTCAAGGGTACTAATGAGATTTATCCTAATATATATATATATATAGGAGTTTTTAATGGTTACGTTTTCATCCATGGTTACCATCATTAAATATAAAAATTTGATGGCATAGCGTGATAAGAATCAAATTTCATTAATTGTCATAATTTTTTTAATCAACTATTCAATTAATTACAATCGTCGGGTTAATATCTTATTGTCGATTGATAAATAATGAATTAACCATTAAAATTACACTCATATATATTTACACAGAGAAAATGAATCATATATGTAACATGTAAAAGTATAAGGTGTACTATGAGATTTACTTTATGTAAATATGACTTTATAAAAGTACAACAACAATAAATTTATCTATCATAGACTAAGTTACATCATTAGTTATTGTTTAATAAATGTCACCTGCTACTTCCACATTTTATAATATAGTACAAGTTGTTAAGGATCAAAGACAAATCTTATATATGAAGCTCGTTAAACTCCAACTTGCGGACCCCTTTTTATCCCTCTCTCGTCTGTAAATTGTTTGATCCCAAAATCAAATGAAACAAGAGTAAGATCATCTTTAATGTAAATATCATATAAAGTATGAAAACACTGTATTTTATTTTATTTTATTTTTGTACTTCACTACATAGAGCTATTGAAACAATTTATCTACTTTTTTGTCATAATTATTAAGTTTTGTAACTTATGACAGTAAACTTTTAACTTTTTAAATATTTCAAAATGACAATATTATAACTATTAAATCAATATATTAACAAACCAGCCAACATACTTGTGTGAAATGTCAAGTCTAACATACTTAATAAAACAAAAAATAGCACTACATCGAAAATAGTTTTACTACCTAAACGCCAAAATTGGACATTTGAACATTGATTTTGGTACTGCATTAAGAAATCTAATTACGCTTTAATGTTATTTTACTCCTTACATATTACAAGTTAAAACGTGGTTCTATCCAAAACTTGAGAAAATTTTCCAACGTGGTATACATTCCAATCGTATTACAGTATTAGATTAAAAAAACAAAACACTCACATCATAGTAAATAAGAATTCCGCGGGGTGTTCTTTGGCAACATATGAAAAAGAGAACCGATGAAACTGACAAACACTTGAAAACCTTTTTGGAACTTTCTTTATCCCCACACATTAAATATATTTTTATTGCCTTTCCCATACGTTTTTTCTTCGGTGCTCTTCCCCCACTCCAATATAATTTCTCTCTATCTTTTTCACCACCACGGTCTCATGATTGAGAGTAACGAAAATTTGATCCGTGAGTAAAATAAAACGAGTCATCGCATGACACAAAAGATAAACCCCATTTTCCATTCTTCTCCATTATTTTCGAATAATGAAAAAAAATTTATTAGTGTAAGAAAATTTAAAAACATTTTAGAATAAAGTTCGGGTCAAGATGATTCACATTCACGGAAAGTCTTTCACATTTGTGACTATAGTATTAGAAATTGGACAATATCATTGTACCCTTGAACAATTTTTTCTAGATTCTTTTCAAGTCCCATTTAGAGGAATCAAAATTCAAAGTCCCCATCCAACATAATACAAATAAAGCTAAACTATAATATGATTTAGCCCTCAAGGCTGCGCATGTTGTGATTAGATCTATTCCCACAAGTAGATGACAAGATTGACGAGTAAAAGATAAAGTGCCAAATGTATTCCATATAAAGTTTTCATATCTTTGTTCCACGTGCTTATTATTTATTACAACAAAGAAAAAAAGAATTACAAATTAAAACCAAAAAGAAAAAAGAAAAAAAAAAAAAAAAGGCAAAATCAGAGCTTTGGAAAATTTCAGGTTCCTCCAAAATTCCGAAGAGTTATTAAATCCTCAAGTTGTCTTTGGTGGCGAAAGGACAGCCTCTCATAAAAGATTTCTAAATGGCCGAGTACGCATGCAGAAGAAGATCAAGAAAGAAACAAAACAAATATTTGGGGGAATATTTTTGCTTGCTGCTGGTTTTTCAGCATCAAAATTATTCAAAGTATTCTGGCACACAGGTTTCTGAGAACTGGGATTCAACTTTTTCTTAAACGAACAAGATAAAAATTAAAATATCTGCTTTTTTTTCCCTCCCTCTCTCATTCTTCTTCTTTTATTCTTTTTTTTTTTTTTAATATCGTTGATGGATTGTGAAGCCCAATACACCATTACAGGTCTAGTATGCAGAACTGCTTACATGGTTTTTTTTTCCTCCTCTTTTTTCTATGATGATTCACTCTTTATTTTATATCTTCTTTCTTTTTCGAAGAATAATTCCGTGTAAAAAGTCCCATGGCCATGAAAAAAATGTTCTTCTTTTAAAGTCGCCTTGAGATATCCACGGCACAATCAATTGTGATTTGCACAATCATGGATTTTCGCCGTATATGAAATGACTCAATTTGCATGGTCAGTTAGCCATATGATCAATGATGCAGATAAAGAGAATTATATAAATATATATATATATATCTTAACCGACTGTTAATTAGCTTTTTTAAAATTTTTTTTAATCCAGATCCAAAAACTTCATTATTTGCATTTGGGAAGAAAATTTGGAACCAAATCTTGATCAAGAAGCGGAATCAACCAACTAAAGTGCCCCTTTACACTTATTACCTTTCCTTGGCAATCAAAAGCGTGCACAATTTTTTAATCCTAATTGCCTTTTCCTTGTCATAAGGGTTTTTTTTTTTTTTTTTTTTTCAAAAGGTTGTGCCTGCTAAAATATCCATAAGGGGTTTCTTTCTGAAATTATTTTTATAAATGTCCTGGGAAAGTATGTATCATGTTTCAAAATACCTTCTAATTTTTTAAAACAATTTAAAACTCTCCATGGTATATATAAAACAGTTCAAAACGTTCCCTCCATCTGATTGTGTCTATAACTTTAACAGATTGTTGACGTGACATCCATTAAAAATTAAGATTAAAAAATTGGACAAGGGAAAAAAAAACCTTATGACAAGGAAAAGACAATTAGGATTAGAAATTTTGATAAGGAAAAAGAAACCTTATGAAGAAATAAATAAATTTTAAGGCAAAAGAAACCAAACAAAAAATAAAATAAAATCACAGGACAAAAATAAAAAAAAAGAGTTAAAGAATGATTAAAATAAAGAAATAAATAAGTTTTAGGGTAAAAAGAACCCAAACGAAAAAATTAAAGTTTCAGGATAAAAAAAAAAGCCAAAAAGGACAAACGTGAAAAAATAAATAAATTTTAGTACAAAATAAACCAAAACGAAAAAGAAATAAATTTTTGGGAAAATTTTTTAAAAAATAGATAAAAAAGATCAAAATGAAGATAAAATAAATTTTAAGGTAAAAAAACAGAAAAATAATAAAAGGAAAGACTTATAAAAAAGAATGGGGAAAATTTTAAATAAAAAGGATATAAAGGACCAAAATGAAGAAAAAATAAATTTTAAGGCAAAAAACGGAGAAAAAAAATAAAAGGAAAGACTTAAAAAAAAAAAAAAAAAAAGGAATGGGGGGTGGGATTTCGACGTCACCGTTTTGGTCGAAATTCCGGTTTTTCCGGGAATAGGAAATGGCCAAGCCATTTCTTATATATAGATGGCGTTCTGGTTTTAATTCAAATAACCTTTGAATGAAGTGTTGTTAGTCCAAAAAGTTGAGGATTTATAAGCATGAAAAGGAAAAGGGATAAACACTCGCTCTTAATCATATCACAATTTGTTAAACTGTTATGAAATTGCATAATGATCAAGATAATTATCCACGCACATAAGAAATGCCAATCTCGCTTACTGTTTTGAAAGCTTCGACAAAAAATGCACATTTTGGTTAAGTGTAGCATTTTCTACAAGGTTTTTTTTTGTTAGCGTCAGTTTTCAGTCAATTTCTTTTTATTTTCTGTATTTACTGTTTGACACTTTGAATCTACTACTCATTTTCTGTTTGAAAAATAATATATCATGCTGGTAAAGTTCATCTTGTCGATCTAAGTCCAATAATGTCTCGTTTAGTTCACACGTTCAAATAAGTGATTTCGATTTTAAATTCAAATTTTATGAGACAACCAATTAACGAGAACTTTTTTTATGAGAGAGCAAAATCAAAATTATGTTTTCAAGTTTCTAAAACTAAATGGGGCCTAAACGATTTTTTTTTAAGTAATTTGTTGTGAAATTTTTTAAGTAATTTGTTGTGAAATTTATCCATGCTTAAACATTACCGTTTGGTATATGGATTTTTTTTAAGTTCTAGAATCAAATGTTTTAAAAAAAAAACAACACCGTAACAAAACCAAAATCATGTATTTACACTATAACATAATTCATATACAAAACATCAATTTATTTATGCGGCCTTCACTTACTATTTCACAATTCTTATATTGCATATGTACCTGTAATTCTATATGGCCTTCATTTTCTTTTTTTTTCCCTGCAATAGGTGGCAAATTGGACACCAATGACAACTAGTAAAAACCACAGAAGAAAATGATTTAAATCTCATTCATTTCACTAATTTAAGTTTTTAATTTTAAATTTTTATAATTAAAAATTCGTAAAAATGACATCTAATTTTTTTTATTATAATTAAAAATTCTTAAAAAATATTATATCTCAATTTAAATTAAAAATTTTAATATGTAAAATGAATAAGATCTAATAATAAGTAGAAAAAGGGAGCCAAAAATACCGTAGGAAGAAAAGGTGGCAAAAGTATTCCGCGGCAATCGCCTGAGCCTCGGTGCTTCTGATAAATGAAAATTCACAGCAAAAAGAAAATTAATATTTCCTTTTCTGCTCGAATAAAGAAGAAAAATATTTCACACACCAAAAAAAAGGAAAAAAAAAAATAGAAATAAGAAAAGCAGGCCCTAACATTTGTTTGCTCTGAAAATCTCGAAATTTCTGCAAAAACGCCCTGTTAATAGAATTCCCTTCCCCGATCAGAAGAAAATCTTCTCTCTCTCTCTCTCCTCGTTCGATCGTCAACGGGGCGTTTGAATTTCTACTCAGAGTCGTCGTGGATTGTTTGTTCCTTTTCTAAATTATATAATATTTCCTTTAAATTATCCGCTAATTTCGTAGATAAATACTGTTAGGCTTTTCGATCGCAGAACCGAAGGAAAAAGAGAAGAAAATTTTCTCTTTTCCGAGAAATCCGTTGCAGAATGGAAAATGTAATGAGCAAGCTTCGGAATTTGGACGCTTACCCAAAAATCAATGAGGATTTCTACAGCCGAACGCTCTCCGGCGGCGTTATCACCCTCGCCTCCTCCATTGTCATGCTCTTGCTCTTCCTCTCCGAGCTCCGTACGCTTCTCTTTTCTCTCTTCCGCCTATTGTTGATGGCGTTGTTTCACATTCTTTTTTGTAATTTGTGATCTGTTGATCGGCCTAGGAAGTTTCCTCAAATTTGATCTGCTTATTTAGAGCTAGGGTTTCTTATCGCCTGTGATTGTCTGTATGGAATTCAATTTCGTTTTCGAGAAATGGCTTATGATTCAGTTGGCAAGGTGTTGAATCCGGTTGGACTAACTATATTAGCCTGTGGCTATGACAATTTTTCGATTCTAGTTGTTTTGCTCTTTTTTTTTTTTTTTTTTTGGAGGCAGTGGAAAATTGGCAATGGATGTTTTGTACATTGTTATAGTTTTGTCAATGACTTACGTTTTCACAAGTCGAATAGTTAATTCAACCCATTGTGTATTTTGGGTACGTATTATGATCAATGCATTGTCTATGGAGATATCTTTATGCGGTAAGAGGTACACGGTACTTCTGATGCTGTGACGATACGATATAGAATGTTCTATTTCTTTCTATCCAAGTTTCATTCTGAAGTACAGTGGTGAAATATTTGTTTTTGCTCTTTTTTGTTAGCTTATAAAGTCTTAATTATGTCTTTTTGTTTAATCAACTTATGTTTGTATTTGGGTTCAGGGTTGTATCTACATGCAGTTACTGAAACACAGCTTGTGGTAGATACTTCAAGAGGAGAAACCTTGCGTATCAATGTAATTCTCTTTTTTAGTTTTCTGAGATCAGATATCTATGTCAGATTCTAGGTTTTCATATTAACATTCTTAGGGAACTCTAGCATGACTAGTCGCGTTTATAGATTTCTGATCGCTTCTGAGAGACTAGGTTTTGTTATTAACCTTATTTATAAGTCTAGTGACTCGATTAGACCATGCCGGAAATCTTTTCTGGTCCTTGAAATCAATTATTTAGCATATTACGATGTCCTGTGATACACTAACTATTGACTTAATTACTTAAACTAATCAATCCATGTTCTTTTTTCCGTCTGAAAGTGCAGTTTGATGTCACCTTCCCTGCACTTCCTTGTTCCATACTCAGTCTTGATGCAATGGACATTAGTGGAGAGCAACATCTGGATGTGGTATGTATCTTGAGGAGATTTATTTTATTATTATTATTATTTTCATATCATGTCACTTTTATTATTATTTGTATTGTCGTTGTTGTTGTTGTTAAGAAAAGGTTTTAAATTAGAGCATTCATAATTAGCTTTCTTTCTCTGTCTCTCATTACATTTTACAACTTAAACAAGTTTGTGTTTTGCTTCATAACTTGTGACGCTATGCTTTGAAAGTATGACTTGTATTCATTTTTCATGTTATCCAACTTGCAGAAACATGACATAATCAAGAAGAGATTAGATTCTCATGGCAACGTGATAGAAACCAGGCAAGAGGGAATCGGTGCACCCAAGGTAGTATTCTATTGCTTGAAGTTAAACTCGTCAACCAACTTTTCCTTTTCCGAACCGATTATATCTGCATACCAAATATGTTGATTTACGGATTTTTTTTTTTAATTATATTGTCTAGACTTCAGTGGTTTATTTATTTTTTTCCTCTCAAGTCTACGAGAAAATGTTGTGTAGACGTTTGTTCCCTTTTGTTCATAGGTTTGAGTTTCTACCAAATGGAATTGAGATAACTTCTCTTTGGGCTGATACTCCGTCTTTCATATAGCTAATTTTGTTTCTTTTTGACACAGATTGAGAAGCCTTTACAGAGACATGGTGGCAGGCTTGAGCACAATGAGACATACTGTGGTTCCTGCTATGGTGCAGAAGCGGTATGCTTTTCATTCTCAGACCATGTTATCATTATGGACTATGAACTGCGAAGTTTCATATACACTTGATAGTACGATAGGGAAACACTGAACTGTACAGAGTACATATTAATTAACCTGTTATCTTTTTGGGGCTGTAGTATAAACTTAATTACTTTGAGCTCTGTTAACCTCTAGTTATTGTAAGTTTGTATTTTTTTTGTAGGATTTACAACATGCAACATACAATTACAAAGTTAAAATCAGTTGATCGCCTAAAAAGTTTTGTTTTGTTTTTGTTTTTTCTTTTTTTTGTTTTTTTTTGTTTTTTTTTTTTTTGAATTAGGTACTTTCAATTTTTCTTTTAGCCTATCTATGGTCATTCTGCGTCTAGGGCTAGTAATTTCGTTATGAACTACTGAAAGGTATTCCTCCTTTACTTATTTAGTAATGGTGTTCTATTTCCATTTTGCTTACTTTTTCTCTGTTCTTTTTTACTGCTGCAGTCAGATGAGGATTGCTGCAATAATTGTGAAGAAGTCCGCGAAGCATACAGGAAAAAAGGATGGGCATTGTCAAATCCGGACTCGATTGACCAGGTCTGTGACAGTGAAAACTTGAGCGCTACTGGCTATCAGGAAAAGAGGAAATTTTTATTGTTTATTTCTAATAGCACAGCATAGCACGTTTAAGTTGTCGATCAGAGTTGCAAGATCTCCTATAAACCTCTCTTTTTAAATGTCTAGTTGCATTGTTTAACCATTTTCCTCCCTTAATTTGCTAACTTTTGCATGTTGACTGTTTGTTCCTTTGCTGTAATTTACTTACAATGTATTGGAAACAGCTTAATAATTTTCTGATGTTATATTTGCATTCAGTGCAAAAGAGAAGGTTTTCTACAAAGAATTAAAGATGAAGAAGGTGAAGGGTGTAATATATATGGGTTCTTGGAAGTTAATAAGGTGGCCGGGAATTTTCATTTTGCACCTGGGAAAAGCTTTCACCAATCAAATGTTCACGTCCATGACCTTTTGACATTTCAGAAGGATAGTTTCAATGTAAGCTATGATTCCTGGAATTCATTGTCCTCTTCACGTGCGTGAGCTTATTGTTTTTGATAGAATTGTATGTCTTGCACTACAAATAAACCTATGTCCTTTCCATACGCTGATGGTATTATGAATGTTGTACAATAATCTCCATTCTTGCTTTGTGTGATGAAATTAACTTTTGGCGTATGACACACAGATAAGTCACAAGATCAACAGGTTGGCTTTTGGAGACTATTTTCCTGGTGTTGTGAATCCTCTTGATGGGTTTGTCCTTCTATCCTTCACTTTATTGCAGTGTTTTTCTGTCTTTCATTTTATTGCAATGACTAGTCAGCCATCCATTCTCCTATAAGGAACTTAATTTCTTTCATTTAGTGATGACATGTGCTTCTTTGTTCTCTTTTTTGCTTTTAGTGTGAAGTGGACGCAAGAAACTCCTAGTGGGATGTATCAATATTTTATCAAGGTCGGTCTTCTGGAGTCATGAGACAAAAAGATACCCTTAGGCAGCATAAACGTGAAAAGATGCAGTACATTTTGAAATAATTGTAAAAGCTACTAGCTCTCAGATTTTAACAAACATTGCTAATTGCTATTCAAATTTTCCAGGTCGTACCTACTGTTTACACAGATGTGAGTGGACACACTATCCAGTCAAATCAGGTTCAGATCTCTCTCTATATAGAAATATTCGATTACTTATTTAGTATGTATAGAGTGGAATATAACACTTGGCCAATGCATTCTGCAGTTCTCGGTAACTGAACATTTTAGGAATTCAGAACTAGGCAACCTTCAGTTTCTTCCTGGAGTATTTTTCTTTTATGACCTTTCTCCGATCAAGGTTGGTTTTGCGTGAACTCAAAAATATGTATATATATGTTGTGTTTTTTTTTTACCCGGAGCAGTTTATTTTATAGTATTTTCCAGATTTTCTGGGATAGGTATCTTCTGATTTGGTTGCATGTGTAATTGATTTGCATGTTGCAGGTAACTTTCACGGAGGAGCATATTTCATTCTTACACTTCCTCACGAACGTATGCGCTATAGTCGGAGGTAATTGCTAATTACTATACAGACCTACCCATCTCCCTGGCATTTTTGTTAAATCTTTAGGCTGGAGTAGGTTCAATTACCATTTTAATTTTCACTTATTTATTATGCATGATTAAGTTATATGTTTTGTGAAATTTTTCCTGCTTTGGTATGAAATTTCATATGCATATATGCATTTCAGATGCATGTTCTTATCTGTAAGGCTTGCTGAACCATGGCTAAACTTGTAATCCAACTGTTTATACGTTAATTATCTGACCGACTTTCATTTGAACCCTACACTTTTGAGCTTATCTGTCCTTCCTCCCCATTTTTGTCCCTTTTGCTTTTTTTCCAGATTACGCAAACTGTTACAGCATTCTTATCAACTATTACATGTCGAGGTTGCAAAGCTAGTTTATTCAAATAGTTGTCTTTGTTTTTCTCTGCCATGTCTTTGATGTCTAAATTTGGTGCAACTAAACTAATCTGCATTCCCAAATGATATTTTACTTGTTGACTGTTTTGTTCAGGTGTTTTCACCGTCTCTGGTATACTAGATTCTTTTATATACCATGGTCAGAGAGCAATCAAGAAGAAGATGGAAATCGGTAAATTTAGCTGATTGATTCTGTTTGCGCGTATTGCTGCTGAATTAGTTGGTTTGCCCTTCTGTGGCTTTCTGAACAGAATCAATCAAGGGACAAATGTGATGGCGGGCAGATCGCAAAACTAAAATTTTGTCATGACATCTACTTGATCATTGAATTAGGTTGAGTTATTGATCTACGGTCCACAAGTGTCTAAAATGTTGTCATTTCGTTCACTTCACTGCTAATGTGAAATACATGTTCGAAAGTTAGAGACGGGTTTTTCGCCTTTTGTTGCTGAAAATTTGTCCATTTTTTGGGATACCATCGAAATTATCCGACAGAAATTAGTTTTTCTACTTTCTCCTTGTGGTTGGATTAGAAACCTTTTTTTTTTATTTCGTTCACTTCACTGCTAATGTGAAATACATGTTCGAAAGTTAGAGAAGGGTTTTTCGCCTTTTGTTGCTGAAAATTTGTCCATTTTTTGGGATACCATCGAAATTATCCGACAGAAATTAATTTTTCTACTTTCTCCTTGTGGTTGGATTAGAAACCTTTTTTTTTCCCTGGTAGAAGATTGGATTACAAACTTGCAGAACAAGTTATCGGCCCATTGTCGGTTTAGATATAAGCTGATGGTAAACAGGTTAGGAGATTAAAGATTAAGGAGTTTCTCAGTAGGTCTTCCTACTAATAGATCGGTTTTTTAATCAATAAATCTGGTTAAAATTTAATGAGACTTAAATAATATACAAAAATAGATAATTTTTAATATAAATCTGACGGTTGAAAAATAAAAAATTATTAGTACTTTATTTTTTTTTATTTTTTATTTTTTGTCTTACTGGAGAAACTTACTGAAGATTAAAATCAGAAAGATTCCAGGTTATTTTAAAACATATTTATGTTAAGGTTTATTACTCGCTTATTGTTTATTTTCTCACTTTCAAGTTTAGTTGATAAACATCATAGAGTTCGCCATATTAGCGTCAGTTATGAATATTATTAATTGTTCTGTTTTAATAAAAGAAAATATAGGAGAAGCTAGAAAGGTATTTTCCATGTCTTGCAGAAAGAAAATTATCTGCAGTCTGAAGAGATGCAGATTCGCAAAATGGTTACGCTAGAGTACGGGTAAGGGTGGTAATTTATGTTAGTGGGTTGTGTTCGTGTTAATCTGTTTATTAATCGTGTCAGAAAATATTAACTCAAACACGACATGTTTATTAAACGTGTTAAAAATATCAACCCAAATACGACTCATTTATTAATCATGTTAATCGTGTCAACTCATATAACTCGTTTAAATTAATATATTGAATAAATAATTAATATAATAATAATTTATTTAACACAGTCAAAACATGTTTAACATGTTTATTAGTCAATTTATCTTTTCTTTTAAGAAAAATAAATGAATTTTACCTACAAATATTAAAATTCACATTATTTATATTTATGTTATATGACATATCATTATATTGCAGAGGACACATATAGTTAATCGTGTCAATTCGTGTTAGGAGGTCAACCCTAACCCAACATATTTATTAATCGTGTCAACCTGATTATGACCCAAACTCATTTATAACAAACCTAAATCCGCTAATTTTGTGCGAATTTTGAATCGTGTCATCATATTGTTACCCGGATTGTCAGCTCTAAATACAGGAGTACGTACCTTCTGTCATTCTTGCTTGAGATTTTTTATTTGTAATAATAACAATAATAATGATAATAACAATAATCGTTAATAATTTTCAGGCTTTTTACGTCCACTCTTGCTCCTGTTCTCACATCGTTTGCTTGTTTGATTTTTATGAACGAGCTAAAGGAAAGAAACTGGAATTAGTTTACAAGGTGGTCGGTTTTTTAGAATAAATAAAAATATAGGAATTTTTATACCCTAGGGGACATTAGGAAAGAGTCAATGAAAACTTAAAGAGAGATAGTAGTGAGAAATGACCTCATAAAACTTTTATTTCTCTCCGTAGATTCTTTCGAACAATAAAAATATTAGTATCACTATTTTTATTATCTCTATATTTATTATTTAACACGTAAATTTTTCATTATTATTTAAATAAAAAATGAGATAATAAAACTTACGTGTTAAATATAAATACAAAAAATGACATAAAAAGTTATACTAAGATTTCTCTTTTTACCTAACTTCGAATCACAGCATATGCCGCACGCTGAATACATTTTTTAGTTATATTTCACGTGGAACACCAGTATGTCCTCTCTGTCTACCACAAAAATTTGAACCACAGATTTTTATTTTATTTTTATTTTTTAGTGCAACTTGTAATTGTATCATCCTTTACCTTTCTTTTGTAATTAGTGGGAACCTCTCAATTTACTTGCTCAAAAGTGAAGCTTAAATTCGAGCATCTAAAGATTACAATTAAAATTATATTCCCCAAAAATTTTTGTGATGATGCATGGAGTCTGTATTCGTTTAATCCCTACTTTTTTTCCTTTTTTTTAAAAAAAAAAAAAAAAAAAAAAAAAGAGGCAGCAAATGGTTGCAAATACAGTCCACACATACATCATTGAAAAAGATTGTTATCTTCCTTCGTGCATGTGATTTATTTCATTTATAGCTAAGAAAGCAAAATTCGGATTCTTTTTTCACACCTTAATAGGAGTTTCTACAAACATCATGATTTCTTGATCAACTTGCTAGTTAGGCGGCAATAGGAGATTGCTTTACGTCTCATCAATTAATGGAAAATAACCCGCTTGCATCGTCAAGCGATAATCTCTATCTAAATTGTAAATACTGAGGGACCATTTCATCCCAAAACGACTAATTTTCTTGGTACACCTCAAACTTTAAGTTATTTTCACTTGATCTCTATAATTTTTTAAACAAATATTTTGCTATCTGAACATTAAATTTGTTCCATTTAAGTTTTTTTTTTTTAAGAATTTTTGTTAAAATTAAACGGAAATGGATGAGATTAAATGTGATCATGTGATTTTTATATGTTTATTTTTAATAGAAATTTAAACAGAAAGACTATGTGACTGCATTATTCACTTTTTTTGTATTTATTTTTAATAAAAATTACAAAAAAAAAAGAAGTTAATTGAAAATATTTTAAAATTTAAAGAGTAAAATAAGAGCTAAATAGAAAATAACCTTAAAATTGAGTGACACCATTAATAATAATCCTAAAAAAATCTATTGTACAGCCAAAAAAAAAAAAAGATTTCGATCAAACATTTTGAACTTATCCAAAATTAAATTAATTATGTGAAAATGACAGAAACATAAAATTTTCTTACTGGGACATTGTCTAAATGATTATATATATAGTTTTCTATTACCTAGCTTATATATATCTTCTGATTCTTGAGTGTATAGTTATATATATATATATATATATATATATATATTATAATATAGACATTTATAGATAAGACCGTAAAACAACAGTAATCAATATCCACCATATTGCGTTCTTTTTATTTTAAAAGTAAAACTAAAAAAGTATTTGTTTTCCTGAAAAAAAAAAAGAGGAAAAAGTAGCAAATTGTTAATCATCTTTACTAATTGCTCTTAAAGCTGTTTCAAACAAGATAAGACTAGATGTTAATAAGCCAATAGTTAGCTTCTATGTTCACTTATCTCTACTTTTAACTTTTTTAAGAAAATCGACCGCTGTGGTAAACTAACTGGCGTTTGATAGTTCACGGACTTTTTGTTGGTTTTTTATTTTTTTATTTTTGGGTGGACGTACTTTTTTACCTTAATTTAACTTGTTGGGTTTCGCACATTACTGTAAGAAAGAAAGAAGTGTGGAAATTCGCGCGGTAATCTCTTTGGCCGACATTGTTATTACCGAATTTTAGGAAAATAATTTTTTTTTTTTTAAAGTTCGCTCTTGTAGGCAGATTCATTGAACTAATTGTACACTCTATTTATTTTATCAATTTAAATTTAGAATTAGTAAAAAAATTTTAAAAACAGTCGTATTTAATTTTTTTACGACAGTAAAAAACTCTTATATAAATTACATCTCAATTCAAATTAAAAATTTAAATCAGTAAACTAAATAGTCTCATAATATCACACACACCGCATCGCGCACTTCAAATGATAATCTTTTTTTTTTTTTCTAATCCAAGTGATAATCTTTCGCTCGTTGCAATTCATCCTTTCTCTTTATAAAGTCCTTTTCACACCATTTCAAAAAGTAAAAAGATTATTTTTATTAATACTCTCTAAAATATATACTTTATTTTAAAGTACCATCTAATTTTTTAAGATAATTCAAAACACTCTTGATTTATAAAAGATAGATCAAATAACTTTTTCCGTCCACTTCCGTGTATACTCTTGACATAATTGATAATGTGGCTTACTATTAAACTTGAATTGCAAGTGTTAAACTCTAATTTATGACCCGTTTAGTTCGTTAATTTGAGTTTTTAATTTGAGTTGAGATGTGACGTTATATGAAAGTTTTTTATTGTAATAAAAAAATTAGATGTGATTATTTTTAATAATTTTTTATTATAATAAAACTCGAATCGATAAAATGTACAGAGATTTATCTATAAAGATGTTTAGGTATTAAAAAATGAAAAATGCTACAATACTGGCACCCCGTTCATTTTACCGATTTGAGTTTAGAATTTGAGTTTTATTACAGTAAAAAGCTCTCAGATATAGTCACATCTAACTTTTTTACTACAGTAAAAAGTTCTCACACAAAATCATATCTTAACTCGAATTACAAACTCGAATTAGTGAAGTGAACGGGCCCTGGATATACTTTAACGATTTTGTTCCGTCTGACGGCTAGGAATTGTTAGATTCAATGTGGGCCCCCAGATTAAAGGAGAGTTTGTGGAATGGGTAGCACCAGATTAGCTTTCTTTTCTTCTTCCTTCGTCTCTCTTCTACATTTTCAACTTCTCTATTTCCATCTGATATTTTTATTTTGATATTTCCACTAATTGAAAGATTGAAATTACAAAATCAAAATAAAATTGAAGCAAGTGTACAACACCCACATCCTAAATAGAAAGCAATAGGTTTGGAAAGAGAAACCTTGTACTGTATCTTGAATATGTCCTTGGGTCGCTAGAATTGGAGATCGAAATCCAGATCTGATTATGATCTCAGAATGTCAACTTTTTTCCCCTTTTTCAACTATATTTGGGAGTGTATTGATTTAGCCTTTTATAAAAATATATATTTATATATATAGAAAAAAATGAACCCAAAACGAAAGGGGAAAAAAATAAAGCCTTTAATGGCTGGTTTTTTGTCTCCTTGCCAAGGATAGGGGTAAACAACATGGAAATGATGGATTAATACTTGCAAAATGCAAGAACAGTCGAACGAGAGATTTCCTTTTGATATTTGTATTTCTTCTTTTGAAGAACTCGAAAGAGGAATTTCTCGTTTTCAATCTTATTTCTCATTCATTGAAACATAGATTCAAGCAAAGGAATGGAACCCACGAGAACCAATTCCTCCATCCTTCCCAGACTCTATCTATATCCATGTCTTAAAATGTTGTTGTTTGCCTCAGAGTCCCCACACCATTTGTTAAGGCAGCTATGATGCAACCCCCCTCTGGTGTTAATTTGCAAGCAAATTTGGTCACCGTCGGATCTCGCCAACCCCGAAGATCTCCGCCACGCAAGCCAGGTCGACTGACCCGTCGCCCTTCACGATACTACACGAACCACCCCTCCTCGATCTCGCCCACCACGCAAGCTCCCCGTCCAACGTGCCGCGCCGTGCCTCCCCCTTGCGAACAACCACCTCCAAGCCCGCCACCCACCCCTCCTCGATCTCGCCCACCACGCAAGCTCCCCGTCCAACGTGCCTCCCCCTTGCGAACAACCACCTCCAAGCCCGCCAACCACCGTCACCGTAGTTGCGTCGGGCTAAATCTGCCGGTTCCAGCTCAATGTTTGACCATCAACGAAGAGAGAAGATTTGGGTTTTGAAATAAATGATTTTGTAATTTTTTTTAATATTTTTGTTTTTATCTCTTTTAGGAGCAATTATTTTGTCTATTTAATTAGAATTTAATGATTTTAATTAATTTTTAAGCATGCCTCAACAAATGTTTATTTAATGTCATTAATTAATTTTTAACACATATCACATCAATAAAATTTATTAAAATAATAGACGAAAGTGGATGGAGAAAACATTTTAAATGATTTTTATAAATCACGGGCTGTATTGAATTATACTTTGAAACAAATTACAAAGTTTAAAGAGTATTTATAAAAATAATTAAAAATAATAAATAGTTAAAGTTCTTTCAGAATACACAAATTATCATCATATCCGTCAAATTATCATACATATTACAACACAATATTTAAAGTTATATGCTACCGAATTATATAGAATTATCATCAAAGAATCTTATGAATAAGATCAATAGGATTACTAGGGCCATGGTAAGACCAAAATTCAGCTAAGATGTACCCAAAATCCAGCTTTGAATCAACGATTTCTTAGCCCAAAAGCCACACAGGCAAAACGTGAATATCAATGATATGCTGTTGCACCCCGTGAGTGGAGAGAATCTTTTTTATCACGTACAAAGACCTTCCAAAGAAGGAGAAATAGACCTTGCAAAGGAGTAGAAATTGTATATTGATTTTCCTCTTTTTTTCTATTCTTGATTATTTGCACTTCTCGTTAATTCAACATAAACGCAAGCTTTGCAATTTATTTGTTTATTACCTCTCAAGTAAGAATTCATCTTTTGAATCTCGAATCCTAAGAAAAGAAACAAACTCGCAATCCCTCGAGTCATTTTTCTCCTTCAAACTTTCTTTCGATCCGTTTAGTGAACCCGTAATTCTAATTTTACTCTTAAAAAAATTAAATTAAAAAAATCTCACTAATAGATTTTTTTACAAAATTTAAATTTAGAATTAAAATTATTGATTTAAATTCATAAACTAAACAGCTAGTCGTACGTATGTACCTTGAATTGTGATGGCCACAATGCTTAGTGGATGTTTACTTTATAGATTTAGAATCGTGATTTAGAATTATTCTTAATTTATGTATATTTTTTATAAAAAAAATATTATAATAAATCACGAATTATAATTTAAATCATGACACGAATACACTAATCAAACAAGCTATTGCCGATCCTTTAGACGCCTTTGGTTGAATCCATGAAACGGATAGCCCCCCTCGTCTCGTGATGTTCGTAGAAGCAGCCAAACAAACTTTCTAGCCCCCCATTAAAAAAAATAACACTAAAAACAAAATAAAATAAAAGGCTGTATCAGCTTCACATGGGTAACAGTCTAATTGCAAGTAGCATTGGCCATGCACCACACATGCCATGTTTGTGACTCTCATCTTCACAAATCTAAACCCCAAATTCAACCAATGAAATTATGAAAGTTGGGCGTTAGTTGAAACAATTTCATTCATAAACGAAAATAAATAAATAAATTCTGATATGTCAGCAGGTCAGTAAAAACCGTAAAACATATGTATGTGTATTTATTTTATTTTTACGTAATTTTCTATAAATCTGACAAAAAAAATTTCTGAAATTTTTTCCACAGTTTAATCTGCGTACTTTAACGTATTTTTTATTTTCACGTAATATTGTAATATTATTTTTTTATTTTTACTTAGTTTTATATAAATTATATAGATCCAAGGACAGAAAACTTAATCCCTTAATCCGCCGTATGTTAACGTATTCTTGGAGAATGTCCAAAAAAAAAAAAACCATAACGAACAGAATAGTTTTGCGATACAGAAACTGAAATAAGTTCCTACAACATACATGCATTGCATTAATGAGGAGTAAAAATTGAATTACAACACATACCCAACAAGAGAAACATATAATAAACTAAACTAAACAAAAGCCTTTATCAGTCTCCCATGGTCTACGCAAGAAAAAAACCAGCTGACCATGGCCGAGATTTTACATCAATATTAACATATTTAATTAAAAATAGTCCCAATTCACTGACCTATAAAATATAAAAAAAAACAACCTAAATTTGGCTCTGCAACTGCTAAAATTTCATCGCAGCAGCCAACACTAAGACCGAAATTACATATTATCTGACACTAATTTTGAACAAAGCTACAAAAATATAACATTAACAACAAGCAACAGCAAATTAAGCTAAAATAGAAGCCCAATCAATCTCCGATGGATACTTCTCCAACAAGTAATTGCTTTCCAGACCACCGTTGTTGCAATCCCAAGGTGACTCGACGATATCGGGGAAGGTCAGATCCGACAACGGCGAAGACCCCGCGGAGCCGTCGCTCTCCGTCGTCACGACCGGCGACGGCGGCGAGGGCGAGATCTCCACCTTCGGCTCATGGACTTCCTGCTTGGCCGACGAGGACCTCTTCGCCGGCGGCTTCTTCTTAACTCCCTGCTTCTGCTGCGACTGCGACTCGGCCAGGCTCTCGCAAATGGCCTGGAGCTTGGCGTCGACGGAGGAGTGGAGCGGCTTGTAGTCGCCGAACTCACCGCCGCCGATGGAGGAGCCGTGGTGCCGCAGGTGAGGGAAGTTCAGCCTCGCGAAGTCGCCGCGGAGCTTGTACGCGGCTCGGTCGTAGGCCAGCGCGGCTTCCTCGGCAGTGTCGAAAGTCCCCAGCCAGAGCCGGGTCCGGTTCTTGGGCAAACGGATCTCCGCGACCCATTTCCCCCAATGCCGTTGCCGGACCCCTCTGTAGAGCTTCGTTGGCTTCGGCGGCGAGCCCACTTGCTTCATCGGGACCGGCCTCGGGCCCAGGAAGCTCAGGCTGTGAAGTTGCTGCTGGTGGTGGTTGTGGGTTGGGTAAGCAAGGTTGGGTTGGGTTTGGGCTTGGATCTGGCAGATCTGGGCCTGGATCTGGTGGATCTGGGATGGCGTTAGTTGGTTCAGCCCGATTGAGCCTGGTTGCTGCTCGAAACCCAAGAGGGCTTGGTTCGAAAACCCGTCGGAAAACATTTGGGCCGTCGATGTTGAGCAACCATAACCAGTCTGGGCTTGGGCTTGGATAGAGGGGGAGAAAGAGAAATAGTTGTAGGAAGGAGAAGAAGTTGAAGGGGGAGAAGGTGAAGAAGAAGAAGGAGATAAGGTAGTTATTGTTGATGAAGAAGGAGAAGCACTTCTCATAAAAGGTTCAAGTGCTTCCATTAGCTCTGATTGAAGAGGTCTGCTACTGTAGAAATCCATTGTAGCTGCCATTTCTTTGCCAGTCACTAAAATAACAAAATCAAAACAGAGAGAAAATAGAGAGATATTGTCCTGATTCTTACCAAAATCCAAGAAACAGGTACTGGGTAGAAAACGAAAAATTACGAAAAAAAATTTTCCCTAAAAGAGGTTTTTCAAAATAATTAACCTCTTCTCTAACCTTGAGGGAGAAAAAATAATCCTCCAAGCCAGTTCCAAATTAAGGGGGGGAAAAAAAACAAAACTACACAAAACAAAACAAAACAAAATTACCAGAAGAAAACGGGAAATCGAGAAGGTCTAAAAATAAAAAATAAAAAGCCTGGATCTCGATTCTGAAAACACCTGGCTTTCGAGAAATCCTTCTAAGTTTGCTTTTGCTTTTGGTTAATTTGAAAAACAAACCCAAAAATCAGAAAACCTGAAAGACAGATGATTAACAGAAAGGGATTCAGAGAAGCGGGGTATTACAGAGGGGGGGGGAAGGGGAATTAACAAAGAAAACCAACGATCAAATCGCTCAGATCTGAAACTCTCAACGCTCTTTTCTTTCTCTGAAACTTTTTTTTTTTTTTTTGGGTGAATATCTCTCTGCCTCACTTTGTTTTTTCCTTGCTCAGCTACCGCCCCATTATATAAGAGTCTGGAACCTTTCTCATACAAATTAACCTCATCGTTAATCTCGATTATCTCACTCTAACCCAACTTGCTCTTTTTTTAATCACCATAATTTTCTCTCTCATCTATCCAGCTCTATTCATGACGTATGGCTACTTCAATAAACGCTCTTCGACCAATAGAGTAGCGACACGACACATCAAGAGTCGTTAACTAACTGACACGTGTCCTTCGGCAACACTCAGGTATCGGTGAACAATCAAAGTTTTTTTTTTGGGGTGGTAGTAAACGGTGAACAATGTAGTTGTCATGTAGCTATTTTTATCCATATGCCTGTCGACTGTATTTGCGTGTGTTCACATTATCTTTGTTTGTAGTTGGAGTAATTGATTCCCACTATTGTGATGAAAGAGGAATAATATTGCCATTTTTTCTGTTATTATTTTTCTTATTATTATACACTGTTTAAACACACTAGCACTAAATAACAAATAAAAATAAGATAATAGAATTTACATGTTAAATAATAAATACAAAAATGATAATAAAAAATAATAAAATAGGTGATGAAATAATAAAATTTAAAAGTGAAGCTTAGTTCTAAAAATAAAAATAAAAATTTGATTCATTGCTTAATGCTTACCAAAATAAAACAAATTAATAAAAAATTTTGATTCCACTATTGCGCTCTTCAGTTTCTTCTTTAAAAAAACAAAAAAAAAAAACAAATGCACGCCTTACCATTATGTTGATTTTTATTAATATCAATTATGCAAGTCAAATTAGAAATAAATCCTATCCACATGATAGGGTAATGCACCAGTTGAGGGAATAATAAACGTCTAGTGATCAAGTAATGGGGTCACCAACTTCCCCCACATTTGGTTTGACCAAATTCATGCTATTCAATATTATTATAGTTAAATATCAAAGGCTATTTAAAACAGGTAAATGGGCATTTGATGCCTGGACCATTATTGGCCTATGCCCTATGGTGTACTAGTTTTTTTTTTCTTTAAAAAAAAATGATTAAGACAACGCACAAATAGAAGTCTCTAGAAATAAAAATTAATAAAAAAAGGAACGATTATCCCATCTAATTGCAACCAAAAGTAAATTATTCTCACATTAAACGATTATATATGACTCGTCTAGTTTATTAATTTAAATTTTTAATTTAAGTTGATATATAATTTTATATGAGAGTTTTTTATAATATTAAAAAAAATAAATGTTACTGTTTTTAAAAATTTTTAATTATAATAAAATTTGAATCAATAAAATGAACGAGACATAGATCAATTCAAATAAAAAAAAAGATAATTAATTAGAGTCCAATATGGTCCAGAGGAATAATTGATAAAGGATCCTGTATGATCATAAAATAGACATTTTTTTTCTTCTTTTGTCCAAGAGAGTCAAGAATGCCGGTGACGGCTGATCACAGCCGTTGGATGATCAGAAAAGTTGATAGCCCAAAAGTGGGTTTTTGACGTACGAAATCTAATTCGAGTTGAGATGTGATGTTATGTGAGAATTTTTTATCGTAGTAAAAAAATTAAATGTGATTATTTTTTAAAAAAATTTACTATAATAAAATTCAAATTCTAAATTTAAATCAGTAAAAAAAACGGGACTTTAAATATCCATCTATTGAAAAAATGGTTGAGGTTGCCGCTATCTATCTAGGAAGAGGAAGAGAGCAGGTTGGTCCGTAACGACAAATAATGCACACCGCAAATAAAAGCTGACGACGTGGCATGACAGAGACTGAAGGTTGTTTTGAAGAGTTAAAAAAATAACCACGGTTAAATTTAGTGTGATCGTGGTTGGGTTAAGCTGCTGGTAACGGCGTGGGTTGGGAGGCAACATGTCACGTGAGCACCCGAGTAGGACACGCACTTGAATTGCGGCGCCAGGTGCTGCATTGTGATAGGTCAAACGAATTTCTTGACCAATACCCACGCTCACTACTCACGGGCCACTTGCGATATTATTACAAACTCATTATTGAAAGATTCAGCAGAAAAAAAAAAATAAAAAAAAAAACGCATTATTGAAAGATTCATCCAATAAAAAACTATTTAAGGAAAAACTTTATTATACAAATTATACGGGTGCTTATATAGTAGATTTGTGAGTCATATAATGCGGGTTCTTATACAACGAGGATAGACAATTTGTAAATTTTATAGTTGACTTGACTAATGAGAAATAATAATGGTAATAATGACATCATCAGTAGTAATTTCTTTTCAAAAACAGAAATAATAATAGAGATAACTTCAATATCGTATCTTTCCATTAATAATTGTAATATCTTATTAATTGCCATAATCGTTTAAACAGAATTCATATATCTTATAAGTAAGTACAAAAACAATGGGATTGGATTTATATTGTTGTAAATTTCATTACAATCACCGCTAATATAACGGAATCAAAATGAATATTTTTCTTTGTTGAAAAAATGAAAATTTGATAAATAATGGTTTATTAACGCATTTAGTCAACGTTTTCACGTTATATGCACATAATATGCACTTTGTTCCCAAAAAAAAAAAAACAAAGGATTTGTCTTGACTTACACTACTTATAACTCGTTCTAAAGTGATATATCACTGATAATCCTTTTTATTTTTCTCTCCGGAAAATTCTCATACACCATGAATCCATGATGTGCTGAGGGCTTTCTAGCCGTCGCCGTAGACAATACTTATCTTAGACGTAGTCCAGGTTTCTAGAGAAGTTCTTACTTCTTATTCAGCATGAAATAAACAAATAAACGTATAATATTTTATTTGAGGCGTAAAATCTTAGTAAGCAAAATGACGAAAGGAGGAAGTTGTGTAAGTTAAGTTTAGTTGACCAAATCGGGTTAAATAGAGGCTGTTCGTAAATCTATTTTTTGAGTCAAAAATTTAAAAAAAAAAAAATTTTGAGTTACAATTTTATTTAAATTCATGCTTTTTGAAGTTTGAACTTAAGTTTATGACTAAAACTCGAATTTAAGTTTTCATTTTAACTCGAGTTCAGAAAGTCGAACTCAAATTAATGAACATTATTTTTTCTATTCTTAAAAATGATATAACCTTTTCGTTTTAATTCTGATTGAGATGATTTTTTTTTCTATGTGTTGACAACGAAAAGACGAATAAAACACCACCTATATACCCTATTAAAATTTTCCATCAGCATTGAGTTTTTATTAAAATATTATATAAATACAAATTCAAGTTTTTACTCACTCAAACACAAACTCAAAAAGATTCTTGTCTCAAACCATAACTCAAATGTACACAACCAAATACAAAACTCAAGTTACAACTTCAACTCAAGTTATAACTCAAATTCAATTTAAAATCTACACTCAAGTCACCTAACTCAAAAACGATAAAAGAACAGCCCTATAGAATCCCAAATGAATCTTTGGGCATGTTGGGCTGAAAGCCCGAACCCGAGGCTTTTTTTCTTTCTTTTTTTTGTCTCGCTTTTACTTTTTTTTTTTAGAATCTTTATCGTAGAATAAAAGTTATTTTGCTCTAACAATGAGATTGAATTTGCACTGATGGATTAATTTTTTAACAGTCATAACTGTAATAATAATAATTTTATATGATGCATTATAAATTTTTAATATAAATTTATACAGATATAACTGTTAAAAAATTAATTAATAGTTAAAAATAATTGCTTTCACCGGTGGAGTAAAATAGTGTACTCCACCAGAAAGATTCCTTTTTTTCATCATTTTAAAAAGTGAAAAATAATTCTTTGCGGTGAAGTTACCAGTATTTAGTCAATTACAAATTAAGAAATAGTATCAAACCAGCTAATATTTCAATCAAGAGTGAACGGCAAAATAGTATTTGCTTGTGAACGTTTTTTTGTTGTTTGGCAGTGTACAAATTTCATGTGGTCCTCTGATCTAAAACCATCTTGAAGTAATGACTTCCTGTGTTTGCTTGTTAATGGAATTTTATTATTATTACTATTATTATTATTATATATATATATATAAACTTGTGTACAATGTATCAAAATACAAACTTCTAAGCATTTGTCGTTGTTTTCCTCAAAATGTAAGCCAAAATATTTCTGAATACATTTTTTTTTAATTTCCCCATTTATAGGAATTAGCAACAGAAACTAATATTTGATAATTCATGAGTTATATATGAAGCAGTATGGAAAAAGTTTTTGAGAACTGCGATTTTCGTGTTGAGACCTTCACTTTATTTATTAATTATGTTTCTCTTCTTTGAGTTCCTGCATTTAGTACTGGCAACTCTCGTAATAAGAGTACTAATGCTTTATTTTTCTTTTCTTTTTTCGAAAATCTTCATTTTTATTTTAAAATTACGTGGTAATTTATATAATATCTTAATCATACTAATCTTTTTTTTTTTTGGAGGAAATGTGATTTTGGTGGTGAGTGGCTGTCAAATGACTGTGTCTATGCGTGGAGGAGAAGCAAAGAGTGTCTGGTTCTTGAGCGTTACAAATTAAATGGAGTGGGGGACCCACCAACCATTAGCTAGCTTTTTTTTTTTTTCTCGACGCGGTTTTAACGTGTAAAAGTCTAGAGTGGGCCATATGTCTTTACCTACATAAGCCGTTACTTTAAAGCCACCTGGCCGCCAGTTGAGACGCATCGGAGGGAGTGACTGGACTTGAATCACTCTCTCTGACTTTTCACCAAACTATAAATTCGCTGGATGCGTTTCGAAGTCGCCGGATTTCTCTTTTTTTTTTTTCTTTTCTTAAAAAAAAAAGAATTATGACTATGTTTACGGTGACTCCCCAACAACTCAACTGCTGTGAGAATTTTAAGAGATGTTTGTTTTATAAATTAAAATTATAAAATTAAAATTATTTTTAATTTATGTGTATTTTTTATAAGAAAAAATATTATAATAAATTATAAATTATAATTTAAATTTAAGTATAAATTTCCTAATTAAATAACTCTTTAATTGT